GAGCCCAGGCAAGCCTGGTGGACCGCTACCTCAGCGGGGCCATCGCCCTCGAAGACGAGGCGCAGGCCCCGCAGGCCCGGCCTGCAGCTGCCAGGGGCCACGCGGAGCGCATAGATCCTGGGCTCTTCACTCCACTGCAGACTACGCTCCATCAGCAAGTGATGACCAACGTCGATCTCGTGTTGCAGCTGCGAGCCGCCGAGACGGAGGAGGAAGCAGAAACGCTCATGTCCGACTTCGAGAGCAACGGCAAGATCCTCGCCGGCCTAGGCCCGCCCGGTACCGGCAAGACGGTCGTGGCCAATCAGTGTATCGAAGAGGCAGTGGTGAGGGGGGCAAGAGTGCTTTACGCACTGCCCACCGGGCAGCTCGCAGCTCGGATGCGCGTCCGTCATCCCGAAATCCAGGTGGACACGTGCCACGGTGCTTTCTGGCTGCACCGACCTCGCGCTGAAGCCGTCGCTGCCCTGACCGAGTACGACTTTGTGATCGTTGACGAGGTTTTCCAGTTGACCTGCGAGCACTTTGACCGCATCTGGGAGATGTTCACTGCCGCCGGGCGCGCGGTCTGCCTACTGTTGCTCGGGGACCCGTAGCAGCTGCCCACCATCGACGGGGAGGCGCCCGACTCGCACTGGGCCTGGAAGGACGTGCTCAAGATCAAGTTCCACGAAGTCAAGCGGTGCAAGTGCCCGGTGCTTGCCCGCAAGCAGGCGGCCATCCGCACCCACAAGCCTATGGGGCAAGCTGGCAAGCAGCTGGTGGCTCTGCTCTGCCGCGAACACAAGGCCTGGACTGGGCACCACGAGCCCACGGACATGGACGTCGCCAGTGTCCTGCACCGCACCAACGGTGAGACGACTTTCGTCACGTGCACTCGACGCGGGGCGGCCTTGCTGAACACGCTGGCTGCAGAGGTGCTGTTCGAGCGGAATGGTCAGCGACCCTTGGGGCAGGTCCCGATCGAGTACGACGAGAACCCTGAGAACTATGACGTCCGGGGCAGGCTCATCGAGACCCGCGCCCCGCTTGCCGCCCAGCTCGTCCTCTACCGTGGCGCGCGCGTGGCTCTTACGCGCAATCTCAACAAGCCG